AAAGGGGGTACAAGGGACGGGATGGCGAGTCTGAAGTCCGTCTGTCCCCCCTCCCTCCTGCCCTCTTCTGGCCCAGATATCAAGCGTCTATACCGCCAGGCGGGGGTAGAGCTCAAGCCCACGTCCTTCCTCTTCGTGGACACCCAGATTGCGGATGAGTCGTTCCTGGAGGACATCAACAACGTCCTGAGCTCGGGCGAGGTCCCCAATCTCTACAAGACTGATGAATTTGAAGAGGTTTGAACCTTTCCCTACCCTCCACCAGCTTGAAGAAGCGCAGATCCCAGAATGTGCTCCCTCGGGGCCCTCTGTCCGTCCCTCCCCCGCGTCAGGGGCGAGAGCCGCTCCTCCTCCGTCACCCCCAAGTGGCTTTAAAAGCCGCACCCCGTCCCGTCCGCCCAGCCTCGGCCCCCACCCCTCCGACTCTGCCTCGGGAACCGTGGCTCCCCCAAGCGCGCCTGGCTTCCATGCAGATCCAGACGCTCATCTCGGAGCAGGCCAAGGCCGAGCAGGTGCCCCAGTCCTCCGACAGCCTCTTCGCCTACCTCATTGAGCGCGTGCGCGACAACCTGCACATTGTTCTCTGCCTCAGCCCCGTGGGCAACTCCTTCAGGTGAATCCGGGGACAGCCTCTCCCTGCCTGTCTGTCCTGCCCCCCCCCCCCCTCCCCCCCCGCCCCTTCTGGGGTTCTGGGTTCCTGGCTAGCCCGCCCTACCCGCCCTAGACCTCGGCTCCTTTCAGGTTATTCCTGCTGCTACATGGGAGTTGTCTGCTCCCTTGTGCTGTGACTGCATCGTTTCGTTGTCACTTTGTTTTGTTTTGTTTTGTTTTAACATTAAAGAAAAAAACTTTTTAACGTTTATTTTTGAGAGAGACAAAGACAGGGCACGAGCGGGGGAGGGACAGAGAGCGAGGGAGACACAGAATCCAAAGCAGGCTCCAGGCTCTGAGCCGTCAGCACAGAGCCAGACGCGGGGCTTGAACCCACCAACCATTGAGATCATAACCTGAGCCAAAGTTGGACGCTCAACCGACTGAACCACCCAGGTGCCCCTGTTTTAAAATTTTTAATCATGATTTTAAAAATGCAAAATTACATACAATTTGCCATCATCACCGGTTTTCGGGTGTAGGGCACAGTGTCATTAAGCATATTCACATCAGTGTGTGACAGATTTCTAGAACTTTCTCACCTTGCAAAATTGAAACTCTACACCTGTTGAATAATCCCCCATTTCTCCACACACCACCCCCGCCCACTCCCCGCCCCGACCTCTGACAACCACTGACCCCTTTCTGTTTCTGTGAGTGACTAATCTAGATACCTCCCGTAAGTGGAGTCATACAGTTTTTGTCTTTGTCTATCTCGCTTGTTTCACTCAGCTCAGAGTTCTCAAGCTTCATCCATTCCTTCACCCAAGGAAGTCAGAACTTCCTTACTGTTTAAGGCTGAGTAATAGTCCGTTATGTGTATATGCCATGGTTTGCTTACCCATTCTTGGCATGACCGGGTTTTAAGGGCATCAGAGAGGAGGAGGGAGACAGAATTGTATGGAGAGGCCATTTGGGCCACCCTTTTGTTTGGTTTTATATTAATGGTATTACTGTGCCAGGCACTGCGCTAAGCATTTTACACGTGTCGCCTCCCTGAGTCAGCTAACAGCCCTGGTTGGTATTCCTGTTGTTCCCGTTTTATTTATTTATTTATTTATTTAAAAATTTTTAACGTTTATTTATTTCTGAGACAGGGAGAGACAGAGCATGAACAGGGGAGGGTCAGAGAGAGGGAGACACAGAATATGAAGCAGGCTCCAGGCTCTGAGCTGTCAGCACAGATCCCCGACACGGGGCTAGAACTCACGGACCATGAGATCGTGACCTGAGCCGAAGTCGGCCGCCCAACCGACTGAGCCACTCAGACGCCCCGTTGTTCCCATTTTAGAGATGAGGAAAGTGATGTTCCCTTGCTCAAGAGCCACAGCTGGGTGTGAACCAGGCCGTCTGTCCCTAAATGCTACACTGAGCCAGCTCTGAGGGGAGCCGGACCTGGACGGGTGGTGGGGGGGACACAGGAGCATGAGGAGGGGACACGTGGGTTTCTGGAAAGCGGTCGGACCCGTGAGGGAGCCAGGAGCTGGAGGCTGCCTCTCTGGAGGGGACTGACCTCTTCTCGAAACCCGTCACCAGGAACTGGATCCGCCAGTACCCGGCCCTGGTGAACTGCACCACCATCAACTGGTTCTCCGAGTGGCCCCACGAGGCCCTGCTGGAGGTGGCCGAGAAGTACCTCCAAGGAGTGGACCTGGGCACAGAGGAGAATGTGAGGCCCTCCCCACACGCCCAGCCCCGACCTCCCTCCCGTGTCCCTTCTCTAAGTGCCTTCACTGTCCGTCTTGCATCCTTTTCCGTGGGCCTCAGATCCACAGGAAGGTGGCCAAGATCTTTGTCACCATGCACTGGTCCGTGGGGCGGTACTCCCAGAAGATGTTGCTGGAGCTGCGGAGATACAACTATGTCACACCCACCAACTACCTGGAGCTCGTGTCGGGATATAAGAAGTATGGAGAAGAGTGGGGGAGGGCGGGGAGGGCCAGGGAGCTTGGTAGCTTTTGAGGGCGATGGGCCGAATGATGTAATGGGAAAGATCCAGGAGCCAGCCCCCCCCACCGGGGCTGGCTCCACGATCCAGGTGCTGACCCTGGAAGGCAGGGATGTGGGGTGGGGGTCTCCTCCTGTGCAGGGAGTTAACAAAAGAGAGACGGGGTTCCCTGGGTGCAGGGCCGTTTCCAGAGCCCTCTGGCCTCGCCTCTTCCCTACACCCTCTCTGTCCTTATTTCTGGAACGATGTGTCTTTTTCCAACCTCAGTACAATGGGGACATCGCCGTATATACCAATGATATGTGTGTCAGCCCTGAATGTTTTCTAGACTTTCTACCCTCCTCAAGAATTATATATTCATTTATTAAGTCATATTGAGTATCTTTTTATGTACCCGACGCAATAATAGTCTGCCTTGAAAGATGTAAAAGAAATGTCAAAAAAAGGCTCCCCTTATTTATTAGATTCAGTGTTTTGATCAAGGTGAAGGACAAGCCATTTGTGAAAAGAGCGGTCATCCTCATTCATTCATTCATTCGTTCGTTCATTCCTTCCACACATATTTTCGAGCATCTGCCACGTGACACTCACTGTTCTAGGCACTTGCAGCGGTTGGCAAAGTCAAGTCCTGGCCTTCCCTTGGCGCCCAGGCTTCCAGCCTGTTTACTGTTTGCCCAGACATTATGCTAAGCCTTTGATGCACATTTCCTCGCTCGGTCCAGAAAATAATCCTGCACAGATGCTATTTTTTTTTTTTTTTTGGTCTGTATAACATTCAAAACTTTGAGTAAGCTGCTAACATTTAAAATGGGAGGCTTAGAAAAATCCGGATTTCCAGGTTTTCTTTAAAAATGAGACATTTCGGGGCACCTGGGTGGTTCCGCTGGTTGAGGGCGCGACTCTTGATTTCGGCTCAAGTCACGATCTCATGGTTCAAGAGATTGAGCCCTGAGTCGGGCTCTGTGCTGACAGCATGGAGCCTGCTTGGGATTCATTCTCTCTCTCTCTCTCTCTCTCTCTCTCTCTCTCTCTCTCTCTCTCTTCCCCCGTCCCCTGCTGGTACACGCGTGCTGTCTCTCTCTCTCAAAATAAATAAAAAAAAAAAATCACGCACTGTGGCAATACGGAGCCCACATTCCTTCCCACGTGGGGAAACCAGGGTGGAGATGGGTGAGAGGTGGTCACCCCCTTGGGACAGGCTTGTGTCATCTGGTTCACCGCAGCCCCCTGCTTGCTGCGCACGGGGTTGGGGGGGGGCAGTGGAAGAGCCTCAAGTAGGGACACGGCGATGACAACAGTGTCTAACAAGCTGCTTTGACAGTGGTGCGTGGAATAAATCAGAGGGATGAGGGTCTGGAAGCAGGAAAGCCAGCTGGGAAGCTGTTAGCAGGGACTGAGGCGGGAAATGCTAAAAACCTGACTGTGGTGGCGGTGGTAACAGGCGGGAAGGGCGGGGGTGCCCAGCCTCCCCAGGCACCTTACCCTACTCTGCGCCCCAGGTTGCTGGGAGAGAAGCAGCAGGAGCTGCTGAGCCAGGCCAACAAGCTGCGGACGGGATTGTTTAAGATCGACGAGACCAGGGAGAAGGTGGAGGTGATGTCCCTGGAGCTGGAGGAGGCCAAGAAGAAGGTGGCCGAGTTCCAGAAGCAGTGTGAGGAGTACCTGGTCATCATTGTGCAGCAGAAGCGGGAAGCAGATGAGCAGCAGAAGGTGGGGGGGGGGGGCGGTGTCCCTGTGCCCGGGTTCTGCCCCCCCACGCACCCCACCACTAGTGACCAGGGGGCAGGGGCTGCCCGGGGCACCGTCAGCGACTGTGTCAGGGGACGCGGTGCCCCTCGCATCTTCTTTAACCTTATCTCTGATCACTGTCGCTCCCCTGACACTGGCCCCCTACTCTCGCCCAGGGCGAAGACAAAACCCTGCCCCCTGTGCCTCCCTAGGCCGTGACAGCCAATAGTGAGAAGATCGCAATCGAGGAAGTCAAGTGCCAGGCACTGGCCGACAATGCCCAGAAGGATCTAGAAGAGGCGTTGCCAGCCCTGGAAGAAGCCATGCGGGTACGAAGGCCCAGGGAAGGGAGTGGGACACAGCCTTCTGTGTCCTTGAAGTCCCTGGGGATGTGGGAGGAAGAGGGCGTCTCGGTGGGGTCTCGTCCCCCCCCCCCCCCCCCCCGCCCCGTCAAGCGCCTGTCCCGCCCCCTGAGTTGCACGGCCCTGCTCCCTGAGCGAGTCCCTTTGCCCAGGCTCTGGAGTCTCTGAACAAGAAGGACATAGGAGAGATCAAGTCTTACGGACGGCCCCCCGCCCAAGTGGAGATGGTCATGCAGGCAGTCATGATTCTTCGAGGCAACGAGCCCACCTGGGCGGAGGCCAAGAGGCAGCTAGGTAAGCTAGAGACCCAAGGCGCACTCAGCGCCAGTTCGCCCCGTGCCTCTCAATCGTCTGCCGTGCGCCAGGAGCTAGGAGAGGCGGAGACGAACGAGGCATCGAACCGACGCTCCAGGGCAGGTGGAGCCTCATACGAAAGAGGAGACGTAAAGATCAGTCAAGATTCTTTGGCTGTAAGGAACAGAAAACAGCTCCCCTTCATTTAAGAAAAAAAAAAAAAAAAAAAAAAAAAATAATAATAAAATAAAATAAAATTGAAGATACGGGACCATATCCCGGAATCCAAAGAAAGGCAGGAATCCCTCTGGGGCCCTCAAAAGCATGAGAGTCAGAAAATGCGAAACAAGGGTCTTTGTGTTTCGTTCTCGTGGTTTTCGCGGCTTTGCGCTCCCTTGGCGGAATAAAGTCTGCGGGCCCTAGTTCAGCGACCCCTGCCCTGACGAGAATGTGCAAAGAGTGGGGAAGTAATGATGTGTGTGTGTTGGGGCAGGGACTTGGCCCAGGGCGTCTGAGGTAGGTGGCCGGTGGGAGATGGGGCTGGGAAGACTGTAGGGCGTCCTGGGGGCTTGGAGGTTCTGGGGAGGGAGGTGAGGGCCGCGGGAGGAAGTGTTCTGGGCTGGGGAGCCAAGCCCTGGGGTGGGGGTGGGGGTGGGGGTGGGGGCAGGAACCGCGCCCAAGCAGTGGAGGCGAGGCCTGGAGGAGGAGGGTCAGGCCCTCTGGCTGAGGCCCCCGGTTTCCATCCCACAGGGGAGCAGAACTTCATCAAGTCACTGATCCACTTTGATAAAGACAACATCTCAGACAAGGTTCTGAAGAAGATCGGGGCCTACTGCGCCCAGCCCGACTTCCAGCCCGACATCATCGGCCGGGTCTCGCTGGCGGCCAAGTCCCTGTGCATGTGGGTGCGGGCCATGGAGGTGAGCGGGGGCGCGGGCGGGAAGCGGGGCGGGAGCCCCGGGCTGGGGTGGGGGGGAAGCCCCGGGCGGAGGAGGGGGCAGCGGCCGCTGCAGCCGGACTGTCTCCCCGCAGCTGTACGGGCGGCTGTACCGCGTGGTGGAGCCCAAGCGGGTCAGGATGAACGTGGCCTTGGCCCAGCTTCAGGAGAAGCAAGCCGCGCTGGCTGAGGCCCAGGAGAAGCTGCGGGAGGTGAGCCTCGCCTCGCCTCGCGCCCGTCTTTTCCGTGCGGTCCCTCTCCCCAGTTCCCGGGATGCTCCGTTGCCATTGATTTCTCCCCTCCTCCCCTCTGCCTTCCAGTCCCGTCCGCCTCCTGCTCTGGGCCCTTCCAGACTGGCTGCCTCTGGCTTAGAAGCTGAGCCCCCCCACCCCCCCGGCCACCCATGGAGGGTTACAAAGGCACTTCCCTTCCCAACTCGACTCGGAGCTGGTGGGCTCTCTCGTGGGCTTTGGGGCCGGGCCCGGAGATGGGTTAAGTGATGAAATCCGGGTGGCAAATCGGTGTTTGCCAGGGCAGGGGGACAGGGCAAGAGTGTGACGCGGGGGCCGCAGGCCGGGAAGACTGTGCTTGGCTGGGGGTGGGGCCGCGCTGGAGGGAGAGGGAGTTCCTCACTGGGAGCGGGCTGGACACCCGCAAGGTGACTTCCTCCAAGACATGGGGACAAGTGGGGCGCCCCGGGGGCTCAGTCGGTTGAGCATCTGACTCTTGAGCTCGGCTCAGCTGTCCGTCAGCGGGCCCTGAGTTCAAGCCCCACGTCGAGCTCCACGCTGGGCGTAAACCCTACTTAAGAAGGACGTGCGGGTGAACGGCTCCCGCAGGCAGGGTGCAGAGTGCTATTATCAGGAGTCCGAGAGTCTCCTCGCGTATCCGGTACGTTTTCCACCCCTGCTTCGATAGGATTTCATATCCACGCGGGGCGAAATTCAGAAGGTAGAAAGAGCAGCCTGCGAGACGCCTCCCTCTCACCCCCTGCTGCCCTTCCTTGGAAACAGCCTCTCTCACAACTTCTTGTGTGTCCGCCCAGGGGCGTCCACGCTCAGATAAGGAAGTGATTTTCATTTCTGTACCTGAGCTCGTTCCATTCTGGTACCTCGTGAGCTGGTGCTGCCCTTGGACCCTGCGGGCGGTGCGCCCTGGCTTGTGTGGCCGTTCCCCTTTCTGACGGGCAGATGCGTCGTTTCCAAGCTCCAGATCTGATGCGATCTTTGGCCGTATGGAGGCCTTTGAGTTTTTATACGGCCAAAGCCGGTCACACCATTTCTGGACGTTTCACCCGCCACCACGTGTGGACAGCACACAGGTCTAATGTCCTCAGATCAGATGAGGACCCTGAGGTTTAGCGAGATGAAGGGACTTTCGAGGTGCCGGCAGAGCTGGGCTGGAGCCCACGCTGCCTGACCCCAAGCCCCGCACGTCCCCGTCTTTACTGCCAAGTGCAGCGGCCCTCGGGGCCTCTTCCGACCCCTTCTGTGCAGAAGCAGCCAGGCCAGGCGAGGGGGCTTCTGTCCTCACGCCCTCCTTCCCTGCCCTGTCCCTGCGGCCGCCATTACCCCCCCCAGCCTCTCACAGGCCAGTCACCCTTTCACTGTCTCTTTTGAGAGTGAACAATCCAGGGCTGGCGATTGGTTTGGGAAGGTTTCTCACCCCTGGATGGTTCCTATCCTGGGACAAATAATTACGTGTGACAAGTGGGGCCGTGGGGTCGGCTGCCGACAGCATCATTCACCGGAGAGTGGTTGTAGAGCACCCCACGTTAGGTCTCTTGAGAGCCCCTAGCCGGTAAGAGGAAGCAGACGGGCACCCCAGCTTTGCCCTCTGCCTCTGAAAAGGCTGTGGAGTGTCAGAGGGAAACGTACCTTTCGACAGGGCAGGCCTGCCTCCCCGCCCATTTGCAGGTGGCCCCGAGCCGATGCGGGGCTCCCCCACAGACCGGCCGGTACACATCTCTGGCAGAGCCTGAGCATTTTGTAAAAGGCGAAAGATTTATGCGATCTGAAGAGAAACCAGAGTATAAGCCTGAGCATTTTGAAAGCATTTTGAAAACTTCCAAGTCGGAGCCAGCCGGGGGTGGGAGAGCCTGTACTCAGTGCCAGGGCCCAGCGGTTTGGAAAGTGGCCCCGAGCTCAACTACATCGCTTATCAACTCAAATCTGGAGTAAATAGTTACTCACTTGCTGGGGACCCTGAAAATATATTTTCCCGGTTCTGACAGGCAGCAAGGGTTACAAACCACTGGCTTAGAAATTGTCTCGGGCACCTGGGTGGCTCAGTCGGTGAAGCATCTGACTCTTGACTTCAGCTCAGGCCACGATCTCCTCGTTCGTGAGATTGAGCCACGCGTTGGGCTCTGTGCTGACAACGCAGAGCCTGCTTGGGATTCTATTTTCTCTCTGTCCTTCCCCTGTACATGCCTGCTCGCTCTCTCTCTCTCTCTCTCTCTCTCCCCCTCCCCCCCCCCCCCCCCCACTCGTGCTCTCTTTCTGTCTCTAAATAAATAAATTAAAAAAAAAAAAAAAAAAAGGAATTGCCCCAGAAGGCCCTGAAATGGGCCAAAACAGAAGCCTAATCTACTGAACATTCACCTTCTTTCTCTCTCGCATCCCAGTCCTGGTCGTCACATCATCCCGAATAGCGTATCGCAGGCCGTGTGCCGAGACCGTGGGATGGCAGCCAAATGCTACAGAGTAATGACACACACAGATTCCACACATTTGACTACGACCCTGAGGGAGGGTGTTAAATTTCAAAGGTTAAGTCCCTGAGTAAACTAAAGTCCAAGTAAATTAAAATCTGAAAGCAAATCATCCTGCTTTTTCAGAGTTAAAAATCAAGAAGCCAACATTCTCAAGTCAAAGTCCCCAAACCATCCAGTCTCTTATTCTGCTCGGTCTCAGCTGTGCCCTCAGTATCTGGGGAGAATCTGTTTCCTTAAGCTGCGGCCAGGACGGGCTGTCAGTCCCTGGAAACGGATGTCATTCCTGTGGGACCTCAGAGCCTGCAGCGGCTCCAAATCCTGTCTCTTGTGAGCATCATTTGAAATTCTAAAAAGATTCAAGGGGCGCCTGCGTGGCTTAGTAGGTTAAGCATCCGACTCGATTTCAGCTCAGGTCATGATCTCAGGGTTTGTGAGTTCGAGCCCCGCGTCGGGCTCTGTGTGCTGACAGTGCAGAGCCTGCTGGGGATTCTCTCTTTCCCTCTCTCTCTCTCTGCCCCTCCCCTGCTTGCACGCTTGTGCTCTTTCTCCAATAAACTTAAAAAAGAAAAAAAAAAAAAAAGGCCCAGGAGTTAACATACAGGATTTACAGACAAAATTACACTCCCAGGAAGCAACAATTCTTGTTGCTCCAGAGACCACGGTGAACACTCAGTGGTGTTTGCGGGAATGAGGACACGTGGAGAAAAGCTTGGTTTTTAGCTTCACCAGAATGGCGGTTATCTGGAAATCACGACCTGTGAGTTTATGTCAAACTGCGGAGACACCCTCCCACGATAGATTAATATGAGATACGATCCAACCAAAAAGCATTTACCGTGCTGGGGGCAGGTTGGAAGCCCACACGTGTGTATGTATTTCTTGGAGAGGGCAGTTATTGTGGCTAAAATACACGTAAGTTTTGCCACTGTAAACCCACCGTCGCCCATCGTGAAGTGTGGGATTAGGGAGCATTAAGATGTCCCCCATGTTGTGAAGCCACATGGAAACCCCAAACAGAAATCCCGGCTGTGTCCTTTCAAGTATCTGACCCTCCCCCCCACCCCCACCCCCGCCGTGAACACCACGTCCCCCGCTCTGTGTCGTGACCAGGCGCGGTCACCCCACATCGCGGTGGCTCATGGTGCTGGCTGTCTTTGTGGAATTGCCGAGGCCCTACAAGAACCGCCTCATGGGCAAGGTTTTCACCTCGCCCCGTGCTTTTCCTAACTGGAAAGTCACCTCCAGCACATTCCTGAACCGAAGCTGCCGTTGCTGCTGCTGAAGCTTGTGCCCCAGGGAACCTGGTCAGGCACAAGTCCTCTGCCGTCCGTGTCTCAAGACGCAGCTTTTCCCTCCGGAACCCCCAAGTTGTTCCGGCATGCTCCCTTAAGGCACAGATAATACTTGCACGCCACCTGCCCTGTGTCACCGGGAATCTCAGAACGGAACCCCTCCCTTGTCCCAAGGCTGTGGATGAGCCACGATTGCCTCCTTAGCCCTGAATTTAAATTTAAATAAAATGAGACAGCTGCTCTAGTGCCACGCAGGCTTGGCCAAAGCCATTGAAAGCTAGAACCCATAGTACACGCAGAATGTACAGTCTTGCCGTTGAAAACCAGCAAATGTCATCGTCCAGCCATCAGTGCCCGGAAACTCCCCGACTTCAAGCTGGTCGGCGTGTTGGCCGCTTCTGTGCCGAGGCCACGGCGGACCTCATCCTGCGGCCACCCTCCAGCCCAAGCCCAGTGTCCACGAGGCTGCTCTGTTTCAAGCAGTCCTGCCTCTGCAGAGACGGCCACTCACTTGTGGACGAAGCCACGGTCATCTGTCAAGGTCAGAATATCACAGCGTCGGCTTAAAGCCTTTTCACCCAGGCGACAGCCAGACCACCGTAAAAATTCAGTGTGCCCAGTGGGAGCCTGTGCAAACCCTCCAAGTCAAAGCACGCGTCCATACCCCAAAGTCTGCCCTTGAGACCCCCAAGGCCCGCCCAAAGTTTCTCAGTGCGTTTCCCGGTCTGCAAATACACTCTGAAGGGATCTGCGAACTAGCAGCCTTCTGTGCCTGGGGGTTCTAAACACACTGAGATGTGAAACCAAAGGGGTTTGGCCAAAACATCACCTTCGGAGATCAGGTGGGAGGATGCGGCTGACCTTGTGGGCAGGTGGGCCCACGAGGAGTGACCCCGTCGTCAGACGGACGGACTCAGTCTTGGGCGTCGCTGGGGGGCAGAGTGGAAACGGCCTGAGCTCGGTGGAGCATTCCAGCTTATTCTTTGCTGATTTCACCAGTCAGATGAGCCACGCACCTCCCTCCGGAGAAGGAGTATGTAAAGGCGTGGTGAAAGTCTTCCCACACACAAGGGAATGGCCAAGATAAAAAAAATCATAACAAAACATGGCGCCAGAAGACACAATAAACCCGGGGATGATTCATCCTACCGAGAAGCACTTACAAAGCAAATCTAATGGAAAAATTGGTGTCATCAGAGGGTAAATAAGGAAGAAATGACACCCAGAGAGCAGAAAGAGGACGGTAAGAGAAAAATCGCAGAGAACCGGGAAGAATTCTGGGAAAACGAAAAATGATCAAAGGATGGGCTGTTTGGTAGACGGTAGAGTCAAGGAATATACACAGCCACGCCAACAAGAAACCCAAACAACATACAAGAGAGATTGGAGACACGACCCAACCGATCAGAATTTCTGCAAGACAGAAGCACAGAATCCGGGGTGATAGGAAGCTATTTCACAACCGGCTCAGTGTGCGCAGCGGCCCGTCGGCCGGCCCCCAGGCACGCACGGCACCAGCCCGGTCGTGGTCACGGAGGTGCGTGCTGTTGCACTGTTTGTGGCCTTTAACTGTTACCGTCGACCTAGAGACGGAGCGCAGAAGGCTGTGACTTCTGAGCGGGAACGTTGTTGTCAGCCTTGACAACATAAAAATGAAAGTACAGGGGCGCCTGGGTGGCTCAGTTGGTTAAGCGTCTGACCTCAGCTCAGGTCACCATCTCACAGATGGTGATTTCGAGCCCCGCATCGGGCTCTGTGCCGACGGCTCGGAGCCTGGGGCCTGCTTCGGATTCTGTGTCTCCCTCTCTCTCTGCCCCTCCCCCACTCGTGCTCTGTCTCTCTCTGTCTCTGTCTCTCTCTCCCTCAAAAATAAATGTTAAAAAAATTTTTTTTAAATCTTAAAAGTACAGCTAAAAAAAAAAAAAAACGCGGGAGCTGGGTGTCGGTGGGGGTGGGGTAAAGATTGGGCAATGCTTTTGTAGGAGATAAAGCAGGGTTTTAAGATGGTGTTCGGCGATATGAAGGTAAGGAGTTGAAGCATTCTCATGGGCAGGAACAGGAGGAGGAAGAAGTGTAGTCTGGAGGGGAGAGGGTCACCCCTGCGTCCATTGTAGCAGAGAGGCCATAGAGATAGTTTCAAACGGACGAACCAGGAAACGGCAGTATGGAATATACCTGAGCGTGTGCAAAACGCCTCTTGCGGAATATTCAAGAAGCAGGTCGCGTTGGCTACCTCGAGGAGGGAGCAGGGTGGATGGGGGGGGCGGGGCAGAGAGACTTTTCATGCCCATAATTATCCCTTTTGAATTTGTAAGTCACTTATTCACAAAGCAAACAAAATAAAAAAGAGGCAGCAGTGTACAAGGACGTTCGTTCCAGCATTGTTAGTAATAGAACATGCTGGAAAGACACACATGTCTATCAGAAGGAGGCTTGTTATATAAATTACGGTTCAGTCATTCACAAGATTATTTTGCAGCTGTTAAAGAGAATGAGGCGGCTTGGCGAGAACCGATTTGGAGACAAGAAAAAAAAGTACAGTAGTATGTTAGCATTTATCTTTATGAAAAAAAATTCATCCAAAGAGATACTTCCCGAGCGCCGGGCACTCTTCTAAGTGCAGGGATTTGGTGGCGAGCAAGGGCCTGCCTTCACCGTGCATGTATTTATTACCGGTGGACCCTACGCACGGACTGTTGTCTGGGAAGCTATAGGAGAAACGGGCTGGGGCAGGGGCACAGGCTGGGGCAGGGCTGGGGCAGGAGTGGGAAGAAGCCAGATCCTTCACCATGTGTGTTTTTTTCCCTTCTGATGTGGATTCACTCTTTACGAAAAGACATAAGAGAGAAAAATTATGCTTTAAAAAAAGACAAAGTGGCGGTGAGGTGTGATAACGGTGTTACGATCGTGGGGGAGATGTCCTTGTTTTGTTCTAGATCTGCACCGGGACGTCTTGAGGCTTGACGCTTCATGAGTCTGTAACTTCCTCTAAGACACTTTGGCAAAGAATGAAATAAGACTGGCGGAATGTTAACAACTGTTGAGTATATGTGGCGGGCGTAGAGGTATTCATTATGTGATTCTTTGTCCTAGGTTTGCAACTTTCCATAATTTTTGAGTTAAAAAGATACAAACCGCAACGAGATTAATGTATGTATAAATATGCATGTATGTATTTTAAAAATAGTAGCCTAAGCATAATATTCAGAGATAGGGAGGCCGCTGCCAGAAGGAATAAAAAGAGAAATGGTTCAAAATAATTTGCTACTGAAGAACGGGACCAGGAGTGGAAGAGGTTTTGTTATAACTCCTTTTTATCGTATTATTTAGGTCTTTAACCTTATGCATACATTTCTTGTATAAAAAATAGAAACAGTGAAGACAACACCACATGCAAAATAAGTAATGAAATCCAGAACGATCGTGGGCTGGCTGCTTCCCCACAGACACAGCTCCGCGGGAAGCCCAATTATAATCAGTGTTGCTGACGAGCCTGGACTGCGCGGGTGGGGGGGGAGGCAGTCACGTGAACCTGGCGACAGGTGGCACGCAGGGAAGACCGCTGGACAGCATGGCCTCCAGCGGGTTTAAGCCCACCTGTGCCAGTGCAAGGGCGCCCCTCTCTTTCTAGACCCCCAGCCGGTGTTTCGTCCCTGAGTGGCCCGGCTGACTCACCCCTTCGGAGTGACCCCTTCTTTCCCTGGATGTTAATACCTTCTAACATCACTACCCAGGCTTGACCTGGAAGGCGTGCTGTCACCCGAAGGTGACATTTGGGACCTCCACTTTGCCTTTTTTTTTTTTTTTTTAATGTTTATTTATTGTTAAGAAAGAGAGCGTGAGCAGGGGAGGGGCAGAGAGCAAGGGAGACACAGAATCCGGAGCAGGTTCCAGGCTCTGAGCCATCAGCACAGAGCATGACATGGGGCTCGAACCCCTGAACCGTGAGATCATGACCTGAGCTGAACCCGGATGCTTAACCGACTGAGCCACGCAGCTGCCCTGGGTGCTTTTGCTTTAAAGACAGTTTCTTGGGGAGTTAATCTATTGCGTTTCCAGGGTCTTTTGGAAGTCAACCTCAGTGGTTGGGCCCATGTCCTGCGCCCTGTGCCCTCTTTCCCACAGCCCAGATGAGGCCCGGTCATGGGCACCAGGCCAGCACGTGAACTCTGCACAGTTGGATCCCCATCCCTGTGTGGGTCCCTGCACCTGGGCCTTTGCCCCGAATGGAGTCCCTCTTCCTCTCTCCAACAGTTTCTAGATTTTTCTTTCTCTCTCGAGGTCCTGCCTTCGGGCCATGCCACACTGGCGTGGGGGTGGCAGTCGTTTCTGTGCCCTCTGAACCTCTCTTGCCAGTGGGACTCATGTGGCTTATTATGCTCCAAGGGGACTGTCTTCCTACCCGGCCTTGAGTTTCATGACAAGAAGTTTCCTGGCCCAAGAGTGGCGGAGGGGAAGGGAAAGAAGACTTCACGTCGCCACACATATTTTGTCTTGTTTTCTGTCTGAGACAGCCCTACGGGGTAGGGGTTAGCATCGTCACGTGGCACACCGGGCCACGGAGGCTCCAAGGCCTCGAAACGGCAGACGGGCCACCGGCATCCCGAGCAGCGCGGCCACAAGAGTGGCGTTTGAGCCGTTCGCTCTGGTCCCTCCCAGGTGGCTGAGAAGCTAGAGATGCTGGAGAAGCAGTACGAGGAGAAGCTGGCCCAGAAGGAGGAGCTCCGCAAGAAGTCCGAGGACATGGAAACGAAGCTGGAGCGAGCGGGCTTGCTGGTGTCAGGGCTGGCCAGCGAGAAGGCGCGCTGGGAGGAGACGGTCAAGGTGAGCTCTGGGGGCCCCGCCCGGCTCTCCTCCCTGCCCGCCAGGTCCCACAGCTCCGTCCCCTGTCAGCTGAGGGACACTCGGGGAACATGGGGACCCCCGGGTGCAGGGACATCCAGGAACGGGGGACGGGAGTTCTCCCCCCTCCTATATGGTGCGAGCAGCGGAAAGCGAGTCTGTGCCATTGAGGGGCGGCTCCCGTGTTTGCACAGGCCTGGGGAGCGAGCGCCAGGGCCTTTGCTATAGCCCACGGACTTGATGACTTTACAGAAACAGTCCCCCCCCCCCCCCCACCGCATCCTGTCTCCGCCTTTATGGAGCCCCTGGCTTCAGGAAAGGGTTAGGCCTTATCACCAGAATGTAAACAGGATCACTGTGAAAGACAGCGACTCTGAAGTGATTAGAACCAGGTTGGACTCCTCAGGGCCGAAGGTTTAGGACAAAGCGCCTCTTTGATGGAGCCAGTGTCCGGGGGGGGGGGGGGGGGAGCCCCCGCTCCCCAGTGCCCGGGGCCCTCCTTACACCCCCCTGCCCGCCCCCCACCCCCCACCCAGGGCCTGGAGGAGGATCTGGGCTACCTGGTAGGTGACTGTCTCCTGGCCGCCGCCTTCCTGTCCTACATGGGCCCCTTCCTGACCAACTACCGGGATGAGATCGTCACCCAGATATGGATCAGGAAGGTGAGGCAGGGCTGAGGTCCTCGTGAGCTCTTGGGCTCCGAGACCAGGGCTGCGGGGAGGACGGGGAGACACCCGGCGGGGGCGGGGGGGGGGGGGGGCAGGGGCCCCGGGGCGGGGAGCGGGGCTCGGGTCTCCAGGCTGACGTCCGGGGCTCTTCCCCGCCCAGATCCGGGAGCTGGAGGTGCCGTGCTCACCGCGCTTCACCTTCGATAACTTCCTGTCCAATCCTACCAAAGTTCGAGACTGGAACATCCAAGGGTTGCCCTCGGATGCCTTTTCCACAGAGAATGGCATCATCGTCACCCGAGGCAACAGGTAAGGAGGCTGCCGGGAGCGGGGGCAGGGCAAGGGCGGAGCCTGTCTTCTGACTGACCTCCCTCCTTCAGGTGGGCACTGATGATTGACCCTCAGGCCCAGGCCCTGAAGTGGATCAAGAACATGGAAGGAAACCAGGTAAAGGCTGGCGGGAGGGGCAGGGCGGGGGCTGCTCTTGGGCCCCTGGCGTGTCTTCCCAAGCCTGCCTCTTCCTGAGGCCCGACCCGGAGTCAGATTTTACTTTGGGTCCCTCAGCGTGTCTCCCGTCTCTTTCCCTTGCTCTCTAGGGCCTCCAGATTATCGACCTGCAGATGAGCAATTACCTTCAAATTCTAGAAAAGGCCATCCAGTTTGGATACCCAGTGCTGCTCCAGAACGTTCAGGAGTATCTGGACCCCACACTTAACCCTGTGCTCAACAAATCTGTAGCTCGAATCGGTGAGGGTCCAGGCTTCCTATGGGGTTGGGCTGGGGGACAAATCCTAGAGACCAGCCAGCTGGGCCACGAGGTGAGGGGTTGGGGGGGGAGGGCCGGCCCTCAGACTGTGGCCCTCCGCTCACACAGCCCCGGGCTGGGCATTAGGGCAGCTGGATGCGGGCTGGGGGCTGGGCCAGCCCACAGCTGGTCACCAGGGCTCCTTTGCCCTTGACCCTGGCCCGGCTGCAGGCGGCCGGCTGCTGATGCGCATTGCAGACAAGGAGGTGGAGTACAACAGCAACTTTCGTTTCTACATCACCACCAAGCTCTCCAACCCCCACTACAGCCCTGAGACCTCGGCCAAGACCACCATCGTCAACTTTGCTGTCAAGGAACAGGTGGGGGCGGGGGCTGCAGCCTGGACCCAGCTAGCGAGGAGCAGGAAGCACCCGGAGAGTCCAGTCGGCGGGGTGGAGACAAAGGCCCCCTGCGCTGAGCGGCAGGGGACGAGGTGGGGGGAGGCGTGACCGGGTGCCAGGGGTGTGCCGTCACCAGAGCGCGAGTCCCACCGCGCGTCCCCGTGCTCCCAGGGCCTGGAGGCTCAGCTGCTGGGCATCGTGGTCCGGAAGGAGCG